CAAAACCAAGTCTAATCTTCACCAAAACCCCTCAAAATTGAGATATAAACTCCAAACCATATTCTCAATTATTTGCAACAATACCCAATCCAAACAAATAATGACTTTTGAAAACCCAAATTTGAATTCAAAGCTTTTTAATGGTTGTCAATGGTGGAATTCCTGCTCTCTTTTCCTTTGCTTTGTATTACTGAAATTTGGACACAATTGCGTTTGATGTAAAAGAATTGTAGAAGATTTAGTCGTTTTTTATTTGTGAAATCAGAAAAAAGTTTTAAACACAGTGTATCGAAAAAGCAGAGACGCTAAATTTGAAATGAAACTGACGAAGAAGATTAATGAGCGTGATTTGCGTTGTAGAAGATCTGGAAGAATATTTAATCCACCAATTTTAGCGCGCCTAAATAAGGAAGCCTACAACTACAATGACTCCTTATTTAATGAATTGTCTATATTTTATAGAAATACTATTAGCATGAAGGGTAATATGTAAACTATGAACATATTTGGTAATATAGTTTCCTATATGGTATAGGAACGAAAATTTCCCGTTGTAATTTGAGTTACTTTTATTACGGGCCATCTTCTCTAATACATTGTGTTGCAATGTGACACAAAGTCGCTGTGACATTTATAGGAAAAAGAATCGGAAATAGCCTGATTTATAACTGATAATTTAAAACATAGCCCCAGTTTCAAAAGTAATCGAAATTTAGTCACTTTTTCATGTAAAGATAAAATCTGAACAAAAATGCCCTTAAATTCTGAAAAAATAACGGAATAATATGTTGGAGTTTGAATTTTTTACATATGAGATTTCAGCATAATGTGCTGGAATTTCATAATGTGCTGGAGTTCCAACATAATATACTGGAAGTTTATACGTAGGAGCTCCATATACATGCTGGAGTTCCATGAAAAATGCTTTCCTAGAAAATGTTTTCGTAGAAAATGAGTGATTTTGTAACTTATTTTTTTTTGTTTGGCTGGTGAGTAAAAAGTTTTTTCTGGTAAATATTTTCTAGTGTTTGGTTAGAGAGTAAAAAATATTTTTTTATGCTACTCTCCCCATCCCCCTTCCCCCAAGTCCCTATGTTTCTTGTGCTCCTTCCTCCTCCCCAAATACCCAATATTTTCATGACTTTATTTTCTTTCAAGAATTTAATTATTTTTCTAAAAGTTCATACAAATCCAAATGAACTAATATGTTGGTTTACTTTTTTATGCAAAAACACCGTTGAAATTTGTGCTTCATAACTAAAAAATACTTTTTTTGGTTGAAAAAGAAATTACTATTTTTACAACACGAAAATACTCTTTTTGTTGCAATAAAAGAAAATAATTTTTACTATATTATTTTATTGAAATGAAAGAAAATATTTTTACGTCATGAAAAAAAAATACTTTTTTTGTTAAAATAAAAAAAATACATTTTTTATCGTGAAAAGAAAATACTCATTTGTTAAAATGAAAAAAATACTCTATTTATAATATGAAAAGAAAATACTATTAGGGTGGGGTGGGTTGGTAGGGGTTCGTGAGGATGGGAAATGGGGGGAAGTTGGAAAAGAGTTTTGGAAAATGTTTTCCCTTCTCTTAATAGGGAAATATTTTCCTCCAATTGGAAGAAAATAAATTCATGAGAAAAATATTTTCCAAAACATTTAAGCCAACCAAATATAAGAAAATTGAAAAATATTTTCCATAAATTGTTTTCCTTCGTACCAAACACCTCCTAAGAGGTCTCTTAATCAGTCAGTTGGTAGGAGAATCTTTTGAGTATTGAAATATAACTTATTTTTTTCAGCATCTTTCTGAATTAAAGTGACACAAACCGTAGATTTCTCTGTGATATCCTAGTATCTGATCATGATTAAGTATTTAACTTATATACGGGCCGTGTAACTTTTTTTTAAAACACTATTAGGTACTTTAACCCGTTGGTATGAACGGTTACTTGTTATATTTTATCTTTTAGATAAGGGTGTTTAAACCGAATTGGAAAATTGCACCAAACCGAAAAATCAAATCAAACGATTAAAATTCGATTAGATTTAGTTTCGTATTGAGTAAACAAAATCCGAACCAAACCGTCATAATATATATAATTTTAAGAATTTATATAGAATTTACTTTAAAAAAAAGTCCACAAATATTTAAGATACTCTCATGGGATGTAATATTCAATAGAACTATGAAGTGCATCTATTTTTATCTACTTTAAGTAATGGATGGTATCATCACTTCATTATCAAGTATTGTTGAAATGTGTCAATCTCTTTGTTCTTATATATTCATATTTCAAGATCTATCAAATTCCTATATCATTTTCCTATACCAGAAATGCTCCACCAGCTGAAGCATCAACAATGTTCTTCACGCTATCTGACAATCCCATNTTCAGCCATAGAGTTGGATGGATCTAAGGGCACTGAGTGAACCACTGGAGTGATAGGTGCATTCCTGGTTGTCCATCCTGAATTTTGTGCAATCTTGTCAAGCAGACTCTGGCCTTCTCTCCATGTTTTGCTCAAAAATGCTCCACCAGCTGAAGCATCAACAATGTTCTTCACGCTATCTGACAATCCCATGTAAAACCGCTGCCCCAACATCAGATCTGGAATACCATGGTGCGGGCATATAACCAACATCTCTTTAAAGCGCTCCCATATTTCATGCAGTGTCTTCATTGGTCTCTGTTTAAAACTCAAAATTTCATCAATTTGTTGAGCAGTCTTATTGGGTGGGTGGAACATGTTATGGAATTGCCTGACTAACTCATCCCAAGTTGTTATAGAATTTATGGGAAGTGAGTTTAGCCAAGTCTGGGCAGCTCCCGTCACTAAGAATGG